TTTCGGGTGGGGGGGAGATTAAGTTTTATTATTTAACATACAAAAAAACTGCCACTATTATAAAAAACACTTTGATGATTAAAATAACAAATACTTATTTAATAAAAATGTGATAATATTTTTTAATATCTTTTCTTTAAGTTTTTATATATACAAGACTCCAGCTTCCAGTTTGCCCTACATTTGTGAGAACTATAAACAAATCCCAAAGACAAACAGACTTCATAAACAAATATTTACATATGGCCAGTTGTATGTTGCATGCTCAAGAGTAAGAAATCCTAAGAATTTATTCTTTGCTGTTAAAAAGAAAAAAGTAAAAAAAAGAACTTTTCTTTAAAAATATTTTTTTACTATGAAGTCCTATAAAATTAGATTAAAGAAATTATTAAACTGCAAAGTAGGGTATTTGTCAAAGTATTTTTCCAAACAAATCAGCTTATTCAAATTTCATCGATTGGTATGCCAAAGTGAACGAAATGTACAGTTTGTAAATCTCAACAAAAATGTTAGCAATAACTTCAACAATACTAAATACTGTGAGGATTTCAACATGTGTCCGCGTGTTGCAAAAAATTGTAGTATTATAAAAGAAAAGCCAATTCACTGTCTGTTACACATCTGTCTGTTATGTATACATTTATGTTTGTATTATACATGAATGACTTACATCTAATGTCTGTGATATTTATTAGTTTGAAATAAAACACTGGAATAATAGATTACCCACCTACGCAGTCTGGACAACCCTACTCTGGGCTGAGTAATAAAATCAAAGTTGGAGATAAAAAAAATTTAAACTATAAAAAAAACTCAGCTAATTTATAAGATTTATTAAACTTTTCAGAAATTATTTGATAATAAATAGAATTATTTTTTTATATTTGTAGGTTTATCATAGAATTAAAATATACATGAACACAAACAATTACACACAGTATTTGAATGAAATTGAAATAGATATCTGTGTCATGGAGGTTAATTTCTTTTTCTGTCTGGTAATAACTCCTGAGTAACAAAAAAATTATAAGAGTATATAACTTCACTTATCATCCATTTCACATTCCTTCCTGGTCTTTTGAACAAAATTAGAAATTTATCCTTTGTTTTCTGTTTAAAATTGGGTTTTCAGTTCCTTCTATATTCTACTTCAACTCTATTTTTCTTTGCCTAAACTCTGAAGTATTATTTATTATTTATTTTTTGTCAATAGGGATAGATAGGGTCACCTATTATCCGGTTGACAATCCTCTTTGATCTTTTGAACAAGAGTAGAGATTTATCCCTTGTTTCCTGTTAAGGATTGGGTTTCCAGATCCTTCTAAAATCTTCTCACTCTTTTTCACTCCCAGTAGCCCCCTGCATTTTATTGGCATTATTGCCTTGCTTAGGGTGAATTGATTTAAAAAAAAAAAAAGGCCTAAATGAGCAGTCCTTTGAGGTCATTTTCATGACTCTTCTATTTGAATTGAATATATTTTCTAATAAAAGTCATATTTTAAATAGACTAACAATTTGAAAGTTGATCATTTTGATGTCAGATGGCTACCAAACTACTTTTTGATTAAATATATATATAAAAAAAGTGTCCATCTAACTTTATGAATACTTGTAAAATAACACAAAGAGTTATAGAAACTGTCAAATTCTCTCAGAAATTTTTAAACTCTTGCCCAAGAGACAACTTTTTAATGAAAAGTCAAAAAATAAATAAATAAATAATAAAAATGCTAGCACATTGTACCCACCCCAAGGGACAATAATGGTTTCTTTCATGAAACAGCATGTGCCTGAAATGTTTTTTTAAGATGAGTGAAAAGTTGCACAGAGGTCCTGACACACCCTATCAGCATCCCTTCCATCATCCAGTGGCAACGTGGAGCCCCAGTTTCAGTAAATAGCCATACAAAACTTTAGTGCAATGAACGCCCTTCTTACACTTCATAGCACATGTACACCCAACTAGGTTGAGTCTATGGGTACCATAGTGGGTATCTTATTAGAAAGTAAAATCTCTGACCCAAGATCAACTTCCAACCAAGTCAGCTATATTCAATTTGCACTAACGCCCTTGGGAAAGGGTATGAATCTTTCTCCTCTCTTCCAGCTATGAATTAAATAGCAGGGCAGACTGGGCTATCTAGCTGAGGTAGGTAGCCAGAAAGACAACCCTTAAATCAAAAACCAGTTGGGCATAAGAAAGTTCACCCCATAAAAACCAAGCTGCTATGAAAACCACAGCAGCAACACCTAGTGTGGTGAGGTTGTGTCCCTATAACCCACAGGGTTAACAACAAAAAAGAGAGTAAACAAGTAAAAAGGTATGTGGGTGAGTCTACAAAGCTAACATCAAAAATGAGTATAAATAATAAAAAGGTTTATATAGATGCATAAGTACATATCCTTGCGTAGTGGGGCTGTGGTCCTAAAGTATTTAGGTGAGTGTAAAGGGTTAACAATAGAGTAAATAATAAAAAGGTTTATATAGGTGTACAGATACATATCTGTGTGGTGGGGCTGTGGTCCTATAATCTACAAGATCAAGAAAAATAACAAAAAAACAGAATAAACTAGAAACAGCAAAACAAAAATAGGAGATGGCTTTGGAGTTGAGTTTGACAATGAGTAATAATTTAAAAATCATGCTAATACTAAGTAGGAATATTGACAAACAAATTTATTGTAACTCAACTGATTCCAGGTTTTTGAGAATCACCTAAAAGGACTACTTAAAATAGAGAAAAATTTAAGGGCGGGGAATCATTTCTGTAGATTAATGCTCTTTAGACCTTACTTAGGCTTTGACACGTGTCAAAAAATATTGATTTTTTTTTAATTGATTTAGAAGCAGACTCCTATTCATAATATCAATACAATGTCCAATCGATATTTTACTGAGTTATTGGACTTAGTCGTTATTTATCAATGTCAAGCTAACGTTATTGACATCTGCATATTTTTTTTTCACTTTTTAAAAACATTTTTATATGGGATTTTTTTCGAAAGTGCATGCCCAAACATTTGAGGTTAATAATTACCATATTTGCCTTTGCATAACATGCATCCTCATATAAGACACCTCCCCGACTATTTTACAATGACATTTTGTGGAGAAAAAAAATGTTAGTAGGTTTCATCATATATTTAAGTATATTTTAAAGTACTTTTTTTACGGGAAAATATATGATTTTGTGCCTGCAAGTACAATATTGTAACAGTCGACGGGAATAAAGTATGGAAACCTATATTGTAACTTTTTACTTTCAAAGGAAACAAAATTAAATTTGCCAAAACAGATAAACAAAATCCTGGTTCATTTGTATCAATGATTATTGGTACATATAAACAAATCAAACAGATATAAAGTAAACAGTAAAGTACAATAAATATGAATGAATTCTTATAGATAATTACTGTAGATGCAAAGCAAAACATTTTACTGAATATTACCCATAGTATACAACAAAGAAAAAACTGAATGCATTCTAACAGAAACTGGTATTTCAGCAAATAGTACAGATGACATATTTTATTAGTAGTGACATAATTTATTGTAATAATGTAGCTTGTTTTCAATATTTTATTATTAGTACCAATTTTTATGCCTAGCAAACTCAGGCTTATCCAACGCCCTAGCCAACCAGTACAACACTCACTTATGTCCCATCTGTAATACGACTGTATTAGGTGCAGGGTAAACTTTTGGTACATTTAAAAATAAAAAATGCATCTTATGTGAAGGTAAAAATGGTATTTATTTTAAATAAATGAAGAACAAACTGATATATAATTTAATTAATACTTTCACGGTTTTCCTATTTTAAATTCCTGATGAATCTTAATTCTTTAGTTAATGATTGAATAAACGATTTCTACAATAAAATATCCATAGAAATAAAGACGATTTCTACAATAAAATATCCATAGAAATTCCGCTATTGCATCGTTAAATATTTGAGCTTAACAACTTTAACAAAATATCGCAAAAACAATCATGAATATGAATACTGGTTATTATTTTAAGAAGTAAGGGGGTACAAATGAAAAGATTTAAAATTGACAACTTTTTTCCATTTCACTGAAACAAACTTTCCTTTCTTCAATTTTCTTACTGAAATCAAGTAGCGACTTTGATATGTCTTTTGTCTTCACACAGAGAATAGTCCATTATTTATGAAGTATTGGCAAGGTGTAACTAACAAAGAGAAGAACAAACACAATTATTACATATGTAAATTTTTGTTCTTTAGTGAAAAGAAATTTTGTAACCATCTGGCAAAAATTCTGTTTTTGTATGTAAAACAACAAAGTTCAATAACTCTGTAAAAATCAGGGATTGATTTGACACTGTATCAATATTATAAAGAGGATTTCTCCTTTCTCAATCAATTAAGAAAAAAAAAATCAATATTTTTCAATTCTGACTAGTAATACATTCTAAGAAAGACCTAAAGAATGCTAATTTACAAAAATTATTTTAAAAAAATAAATAAATAAAAACTATTCCTTATCCCCCGCCCAAGTGAACCATTCTATTTAATTAATGGCCATCTGAAAAAAGAAAAAAAAAAAAAAAAACACTATCTGAAGCTTTTCGACTATGCACTTGGGGAAGACAAATCTACCTTCATCACACCCATCCCAATCTGAGATATATATTTTTTTATTCAATTCACCCCAAGCAAGGTGATAATGCCACTAAGATGCAAGAGGCTACCAGTTTATTGGTTGTTTTTCTTTAGCAGCATATTAAGCTCTATGGGTTATTTAATACCAAAATCTAAATATTTTGTACACAATTTTATTTTATTTTTGGGGAAATATTAATGGTTCTAGTGATACAAGTTTTATTAATTAACCCATAACTGAGAGGAGAAGTGGATTGAATTTACAAGGGTACTTGTGCATAAGAGAATATAATGAACCCAACAGGAATTGGAACTTGACTCTCCGATTAACAATTCCAAGCCATTATCCATTACACCACACACACATCCAAGCTTACAGCACTTAGTATTCCCAAGCGGTCACCCATTTAGGTACTGGCTAGGCTTGGCATTGCTTAACTTCAATGATCTTATGGGAACTGATGTTTCAATGGGCTACTGGAAGTGAAAGAGAATGAAGAGACTTTAGAAGGAACCGGAAAACCAATCCTGAACAAGGAACAAAGGAGAAACCTCTACTTCTGTTCAATAGAACAGGGAGGAGTGTGAACCTACCTACTCCTCTTATAGACTGTGCTCACTAGCCTTGGTTGTTAGCCAGTCTGTGAGAAGGAAAACCCTGAATTCAAAATATGCTTAAAGGGAAACAAGCAGTATATTAATAGCACACATCCTTCAAACAGAAACCCAGAAAAGATTTCCAAGAGCTAAACAGGAACTAGAAGTGCCGAAACACTTGGCACTTAACCAAAATAAATAGAGAAAAAAAAACTACTTAACTGACTGATAAGGAACTTCTAAAAACAGCATCTGGAAACTGGGAATGTAATTTTAGACCTTGTGGCATTGGAGAGAATCAACATATGTTCCCCCCACAGTGGGAGGTAAAAAAAGAAAAATAATAAAGCTAATTATTTGGAATATGAATTCAGTTCTCTAAGCAAAATGAGACAATGTACTAAATAAACAAAATTTATATTAAAACTCATTTTATTTTTCTTCTATATGCCATATCCCTTCAAGACGTTGCTGATCATGGTCCTCCACAATTTCCTATCCTAAATAAATTGTTCTTTTGCTATCTCTCCTAAACCTTGTTCCACCATCTATTTACTCAAACTCACCAGGTAATTTATGTTTTATTTTCCTCTATCTCTCTTGCCTTCAATCTGTCCTGTGAGTATCAAATTTTCCAAGCTTTCTTTCCTCATGTATCCTAGAAATTTCAACTATCTCTTTCTGATGTTAAGTATATGTGTCCTTTTTATTTCCATTTTCTCTAAAGCTTTGTCGTTGCTTTTTTTGGTCCATGGTGGGTCTTCCCTAATATTTTAATAAATTATGACTGATGAATAAATGTATTACTTAGTTTATTAAGCTCATTTTAAATGAAAATAGGTTATCTCTTTTCTCTAACATATTTTTTTTAATTTCAAGCTGAAATTATAACTTTTCTTATATTATTCTTTTTTACCTATAACTTTATTTTATACAATTGATAAAATAGAGGCGTTTAAACATCTGAATTGTTTTAACCTATATTTTCATTGTCTCATGAGTAGCATTTTTCTAAGCCCTCTTTCCTCATTATGTGCTCTAGAAATTTCAACTGTCTCTTCCTGATGTTAAGTGTCTTTTTTATTTCTGTTTTCTCTAAAACTTTGTTGTTGTTCACATGTTTGGTCCATAATATTCTCAGCATCCTTCTGTAGAACCCCATTTCTGTTACTTCAAGTCTTTTTCATCTATAAGGAAATTTCCAGCATTCACTGCCATATAGAAGGATTGATATTACATAACAGTTCAGTACTCTTTTCTTCGTTTCTGTTGCTTCAAGTCTCTTCTTCATCTGTAAGGAGATTGTTCAGCATTCACTACCATATAGGAGGACTGATATTGCGTAACAGTTCGGTACTCTTTTCTTTGCTGCTAACAAAATTTTTCTGTTTCTTAATACGTTGCTTAGCTTTTTGAAGGTGTTTTTTATTACACCAATGCACCTTCAGATTTCAATGCTTCACTTTTTGTCCTCTGTTAAAACACTTCACAGATTAAATTGGGGTACTTGTTTGATTTTGGCATAATAATGTTTTAAATTAAGCTTCTAATATATAAGAGGATGTGTGGGTGATGCCATGATAAGAGGCATGAAAAAAACAGAATCAGCCAGCAGAGTTCAAATTCCAGTCAAGGCTTTTGTATTCACTTCATATTAATGTCCTTGGGAAAAGCATAAATCTAACTCCCACTGCTATGGGTAAAATAGTAAGGCAGACTTGGATTTTTAGCCTTGGTGGGGAAATCAGTCTAAAAGGATAAAGCTGTGGAAAAAGCAAAAGGAAATCACTCTATACCTTTCCTAAAAACATTCAAGGTAATTAAAAGTTTAAAGAAAAAGGAAACCATGGATCACTATGATCACATACCCTGAAGAGGCATGACATAACAATTATCTTTAATTTAAAAGAAAAATTAAATCAACATAAGATACTTAACCAGAATTTAAAGTATAACTTAACCTTATAAGTAATCTGAAGGCCAATAAGATTTATTGAAAGAAGTCTTCCAGAATCAAAGCAAAGTATTAAGACATAAGAAAATGTTCACAGAAATAAAGAAAACAGTGTTAAATTGAAGAAATCTGAAGGCCAATAAGATTTATTGAAAGAAGTCTTCTCAAATATAAATAAAGTATCAGGACATAAGAAAGTGTTCATAGAAATAAAGAAAACAGTGTTAAATTGAAGAAATCTGAAAGACAATAGGATTTAGTGAAAGAAGGCTTCCAGAATCTAAGCAAAGTACTAAGACATAAGAAAATGTTCGCAGAAATAAAGAATGTTAAATTGCTATGTAATATATAATCTCCCACATAGCAGTGTGAGATGGACTATTTCTATCCAGATGAAAGACTTAATGCAAAAGAGATGTGTTCTACTAGCAAATGCTAAGAATACCATGGAAATAACACAAGAACAATGTGGAAGTCTTAAGGAAAATATGTATTACAAGGAAACTGATACAATCAGAAAGAAACAGTCGAAATTTCTGGGATAGATAATGAGGAAAGATGGTCTAGAGAATTTAATACTAACAAAACATATCAAAGGTAAGCAAAGGAAAACAGTGAGTAACCTACCTGATAGGTTTCTGTGAATGGATGGCAGAACAGGAACAAAAAGGGATGAGAAAGAGTCAAAGACTAATTATAACAACAAAAGTCAGGAAATTGTGGAGAGCTATGATCACCAATGTTCCGAAAGGACTTGGCATTTAAACAATGAAGAATGGTTGTGACATTCAGCAGAAGAGAAATAAACACATGGTTTTGCCTCATATCTAATTACAAACTAAAAAATCTTTTCACTAATCAGATTTAAGAACACTCAAGACACTTAACCCAAATAAATATTTATCATTAATTGGCCAAAAGTGCTGATCAACTGGTCAGTCTGGTTGTGAGCATCTGTTTTATAAAGAAGGTCATCTTTCAATCTTGAAATAATTAGTGGTTTAAGCCCACAGCTAGAAAAATATACACAAAAGATATTTTATCATATACTCTTGACTCTCAAATAGACGAGAGGGGTCTTGCAAATAAGAGGGGACAGACTAATTACCAGGCCGGCCTTTAAGTCAAAGAGACAAGTAAGAATTTGCACACTAAAATTGGTTCATAACATTTCCAGTAAACTGGCTACAGGATTTTTAAGGGTGGGGGACTCAGTTGACAAACAGGTCTGAGAGGTTCTTTCAATTTTCAGTAATTTGATAAAAGGGGTGGGGTCAAAAAATTAAGAATATATAATACTAACACACAATCAAGATGAATAAACATTCATTTTTCATGACAAGCAAGACTTTCAACAGAAGCAACAACTAAAATGGATATCACATGTAACTAAAAGAGAAAAAATAATGAAGCCTTAGTGTCATGGCAAAGATCATCCTTCTTTGAACCTTGAAACCACATCACTTGGAGGACTGGACTGGTCAAAAACAGAATCAAAACAAATACTTGAAACTCATCTTGAGGACTTTCAACTGGATATCCAAATAAAGAGAAAATAATGAAACCACATCAGTTGAACCTTTGGACTTTCAGAATCAGCAAAGAACTGCAAATAACTAAAATGGATATCAACAGCAGTAACTAAAAATGGATAACAATAATGAGAAAATAATGAAGCCTGAGTTAAGATGTTGAACCTTTTGGTGCTACAGAATCACAAACAAAGAACTGTACCAAATAACAGAAACCACATCACTTGAGGACTTTCAAACAAAACTAAAATGGATATCAGGAAGAAAATCTCCATCAATACCAGAAAGGGCTTGGGTTCTTGGAAAGATCATCCTTCTTTGAACTACTGGTGCTTACAAACAAAGAACTGTACAAACCAATCATTCTTTCAACAGCAGAACAACTGGTTTAAGAAAAAGAGAAAATAATTTATAAATTTCTCATCCTTTTGAACCTTGTAGGTGCACATTCAATGAATGAAACCACATCACTTGAATGTTTTGGATATCAATGGAAAGAGAAAATAATAACATATGTCTTGAAACATCCCCTTCTTTGAACCTTGTGGACAATATCAGAACCACATCACTTGAACACAACAACTAAAATGGATATCACATGTAAGTCAAAGAGAAAATAATGAAGCCTGTCAATATCCTTCTTTGAACCTTGTGGACTGGTAACAGAATCACAAACAAAGAACTGTCCAAATAACAGAAACCACATCAATTGAGGACTTTCAGCAGCAACAACTAAAATGGATATCACATGTAAGTCAAAGAGAAAATAATGAAGCCATCAAACCTATCTACAGAATCACAAACAAAGAACTGTACCAAATAACAGAAACCACATCACTTGAGGACTTTCACAGCAGGAAAAAATGGATATCACATGTAAGTCAAAAGAGAAAATAATGAAGCCTGAGTGTCTTGGCAATCATCCTTCTTTGAACACTGGTGCTACAGAATCACAAACAAAGAAACCATCAATATCAGGACTTTCAACAGCACAACTAAAATGGATATCACAAAGAGAAAATAATGAAGCATCAAAGATCATCCTTCTTTGAACATAACACAAACAAAAATAACAGAAACCACATCAATATCACTAAAATGGATATCCATTAAGTTGAGAAAATAATGAAGCATTTTTGGCATAAATCCTTCTTTGAACCTTGGGACTGGGCTAGAATCACAAACAAAGAACTAAATAACAGAAACCACATCACTTGAGGACTTTCAACAGCAGCAACAACTAAAATGGATATCACATGGGAAAATAATGAAGCCTCAATATTTTTTGAACCTTAAGAATCACCCCCTCATCCTTCTTTTTGTGGATTCAAACAAAGAACAAGAAATTGAAACCACATCATTATTATTATTAGATTACAGCTTTAGTT